GAATAGAATAGAATAAAATAGAATAGAATAGAATAGAATAGAATAGTGAGAAGAATAGAATAGCATAGGATAATGAATAGAATAGAATAGAATAGAATAGAATAGAATAGAATAGAATAGAATAGAATAGAATAGAATATTGAATAGAATGAAATAGGATAATGAATAGAATAGAATAGAATAGAATAGAATAGAATAGAATAGAATAGAACAGAATAATGAATAGAATAGAATATGAATTAGGAATAGAACAGAACAGAATAGAATAGAATAGAAGAATAGAATAGAATCAGGAAAGAATAGAATGCTGAAAAGTTGGAAGGGACCTTGGAGGTCTTCTAGTCCAACCCCCTGATGTGGGGGCTCTCGCAAGGGGTGCAAACAGTTGAGGGCAGCCGTTCAATTGGGGACCGCTACTGTGCCCCTCTCCAGAATGCGTGCCTCTCCCTGATCTCCACCTTGCCACCTTTTTCTCTCCCCCCCACCCCAGACACGACTCCCAGGAGATTGCGTGCGAGAAGGACACGGGGCCCAAGAACAGGTGCTACATCCGCTACCCCCACCTCTTCTCCACCAAGAAGTACAAGGTGACCCTGACCGTCAGCAACGCCCTGGGCAGCAGCTCCACCACCACCTCCTTCGATGAGTTTGCAATAGGTAAGTGCAGCGGGCAGCCCCCCCCCCCCCCCCCCCCCCCCCCCCCCTCCCCCCCCCCCCCCACCCCAGGATCTCAAGGAAGGAGACGCGAGGGATTCAGAAACGGGGGGGAGGAAACCCTTCAAAAGAAGCAGGGGGGCAGGAAGGGCACCCCACTGCTTAAAGGCTGCAGCCTCTGGCAGAAGGATCAACATCAAATGAGGTACTAATACCTGTGATGACCCAAAGGGGCGTGGCACAAAGGCCACACAGTCAGATAAGCAAGAAGAGTCCCTTTATTAGCTCCAATTTTGCCCCCAATGTCCAGGTTACCTTCGGGCTGGAGAAAAACTCTCCTAGGAACAGCCTCTGATTGTAGAAAATTCAGTCCAAAACAAGGGACACACAAACTGTAACTTAAAATCCAAACAAACCAAGCTGAAGTAATCCGTTTGGCAGGGCAGGAGTAGGAATTTCAAACTCGAAAGCCCAGCAAAATACACACAGTTGGGAAGACGCCAGGAACACAAATAAGCCACAACGATACCAGTTAAATTCACACTTGCTCCCAACAGCTTGCTGCACACAGCTTCTTCTTTTAAACCCTGTGCTCCCAGCTGCAACTAATGAAGGGAATCAGGGCCCTTTCCTCCCCCGTAAGCCATGCAACTCACTTTGCTCCCTTCTCCGTTCCTCCCTGCGTGCCCTAGGATGAAGAGGGGTGGGCCTGGGTCTTCCTCTGAACTCCCTCTCCCTTGCTCTACCTCTCCCCTGCTCTGCCCAGCCAGACTTTGCCCTTCCCCAGTTTCTTCCACAACCAACAGAGGCCACACTCCCACTCCCTGTCAGCTGCTCAGCTTCAGATTCCGACAGAGGCATGACAATACCGCTCTATAAAGCCTTAGTAAGACCACACCTTACTTATAATGGCTCTTCCGTCCCAAGTACCGGCCCATAGATTTCCACTGCTCTCCTCTCCTCTGCCTTCTGAGCATCCATGTGTCAGGTACTGGATGCAGCTGTTCCTCCTCCTCCTCATCAGCCACCTCCAGACCTGGAGGCTGTTGACTTTCCACCTGAGGGCTAATGGGCGGCCCAGGCTCTGCCTCCCTCCCTCTGCCTCCCTCCCTCCCCCTCTCTTTCTCTCTGTCTCTTTCTTTCTTTCTCTCTCTGTCTCTCTCTCTCTGCCAGCTTCATTCCCTCTTCCCCCTCAGAGCTCCCAGGTTGCCCTGATGCTGGCCCTGACTCCCACGCCGCCTCCTCCTCCTCCTCCTCCTCCTCCTCCTCCTCCTCCTCCTCCTCCTCTTCTGTGATTCAGCTGCTGGAGGGACCAGCGGCCAACAGGCCACAACAGCTTTGCAAGTGTGACTTTGTGGCTGGCGAGGGGGGTGGGGGTGGCGTTTTGTGTAAGCCCTCTTGCTGGATCCCGAGTTGTGGTGTCGCCACAATGAAGGCGAAGGCGGCTTGGCAGATGGTGTTTGCGTTCTTGACGCAAATGCAGCAGGAGACAGAAACAGGGAATTCTCCAGTCTCAGGTTTTTCTAATGGGAGCCCTGGGCAAATTACGGAAAGCAAACACCCGGCATTAAAAATGTAACATCCTGACGGTGTTCATTATTCTCCACATCAAAAGCCATCCGGGGGCAGATGCTGCTGCCACTGTTGTGCCGCATGATGTGCAAATGATGAGCTCAAATATATGCCAAAGGAGACATTCTGGGCATTTTGGAGATTCAGTTGCACCGATGGGGCTCTCTCTGGGACCTGGGCTATCTGGGGGGGGGGGGGGGGGTGCAAGGATCCCGTCGGAGCAGGGGCTATGGGGATGATGGGCAAGGAGGCCCCCAAGGGGGCAAAAGAGGTAACCCAGGCAAGGGACAGGACTCTACTGCAGGGGTCTCCAACCTTGGGGGCTTTAAGCCTGGTGGACTTCAACTCCCAGAATTCCTCAGCCAAAGTTGGAGACCCCTGTTCTGCTGCATCTGATGTTAGTCCCCACAGTACAAAAAAGATGTCGAGACTTTAAATCAGAGAAGAGCCACTAAGATGATGAAAGACCTGGAGACTAAAAACACCTAAAGAACAGCTGCAGGATTTGGGTTTGGCCAGTCTAGAGAAAAAGCAGAAATAGGGGGTGACATGATAGCAGCGTTCCAGTGTTTGAGGGGCTGTCGCAAAGAGGAGGAGGAGGAGGAGGGGTTGACTTACTCTCCAAAACACCCTGGAAGTAATCCGAAATGAGGGAGAAATGTCTTGACCGTGAGGACAATTAACCAGTGGAACGGCTGGCCTCCAGAAATCACATGGACGCTCCGATACTGGAGGCTTTTTAAGAAGAGACTGACAGTCTGAGAAGACTGAGAAGAGACTGAGAGGGGGGCTGGACTAGAAGACCTCTTAGGTTTCTTCCAGCTCTGTTCCCAATGATTGATTGACCTAAGCCAGAGGAAGGGGCCAGTGACTCCTGGGGGAGAAAGAGCCCCTTTCCTTGTTCCAGGAGGAGCAGCTGTCGCACCCCCAGAAATGCCGGCAGGACCTAATTCCTGCTGACCCCTTTGGGACCTTCCCTGCAGACCTGAGAGGCTGGCCCAGGGTTGGAGGGCTGCCTCTGCTCCCAAGGCTTTCCCTCCCTTGCCTGCAGAGCACCCCACGTGAACTCTGCACATGCTCCAGGTCTTCTGTCCCACCCGGGACTGCAGGCCAGAGCTGGAGGAATGAGGAGATGGGTCTCGGCATCTGGTGAAGGCCACTGGCCGGTCCTCTCTGGCCTCTGGCCACCATAGAGGCGGCTCTTTCAGGTTGGGGGAGGGGGCCCCCAGGCTCCGCTGGAAGGGGAGGGGCGGGTCCTGGGGGGCATCTGAAAGACCAAACAACATCCAGTTGGCTTTTGTGGGTCCTAGTCATGGTCCATACAGGTAGACCCCAAAACTGACCCCCAAATTTATGTTGCTAAAAGAGACAGTTGTTAAGTGAGTCTTGCCTCACTGGACCCCCCTTTCTTGCTATGGTTGTTAAGTGAATCAGTGCAGTTGTTAAGTGAGTCACCTGCTTGTTAAGTGAATCTGGCTTCCTCCATTGGCTTTGCTTGTCAAAAGGTCTCTAGGGAGAAGCTGCGGCTCTTTGGGGCAAATTCCTAGCAAGAGGCGTTTTGCAGTCCGTTGTCATCAACACGCAAGGGAGAGTGTGACATTGGGGTGGGAGGAGGGCAGCGTGTTGGACGCCCACGCCTGTGTCTGCTCTGACACGCGCAACACACAAACAGGATTGTCCAAAGGGCCCCCGGAGGCTCCAACGGGGCCCTTTCTGTGGCATTTGACATTCCCTCCTTCATGCACTCTTGGAAAAAAAGGAAAAGGCTTTTCCTGATGCTAAAGGAGACTCTGGAAAGACACACACAGAGAAAGAGAGAGAGAGAGAGGAGAGGCTTCCAAGGAAGGGGGTTGGCATTTGGGCAAAGTTACGCAGGGAAGGTTGCCCTCCCATTGACTGGAAGCTTCACCATAGCAGCAAGCACATCATAAATAAAGGCCATAATGATACAAGTAAAAATGCAAGCGCGTTTGTTAAATAAGGGAGAGAGAAAGCGGATAGATAGATAGATAGATAGATAGATAGATAGATAGATAGATAGATAGATAGATAGATAGATAGATAGATGGATAGATGGATAGATAGATAGATAGATAGACAGACAGATATAGATAATACAGAGATACAGAGAGAGAGAGAAAGATATATATATATATATATATTAGATAGATACATAGATAGATTAGATAGAGAGATAGATTAGATAGACAGACAGGTAAATGGAGATAGAGAGATTAAAGAAAGAGAGAGAGATGATGATAGAGATAGATAGATGATATGATAGATATTAGATGATAGAAAAAGATAAGCAATGGATGGACGGACAGAATTCAGGCATTATACATACTTGCACACACATTTTCAGATGTTGCAACTGGTTTTTATTAGAGACTGCTATCTTTCAACCTTTCTAAGTATCTCATCGACATACTTTTATCGCTTTTTATTCTACGCAGTAAAAATTAAGGGCGTATATAAAAGAACAGAACGAGAGCCAACTTTTTAAAATGTTTTTATTCTTTTATTGAATTTATATGCTACCCATCTCCCGCTCCAAAGTGACTCTGGGAGGCTCACAAAACAATAAAATCCCTGCAATCCCTTTTTTGGTTTTGGTTTCCCTGTAAAAACAACCCATTTTCTATCCTCCTAATGATTGCAGAAGGAAGGTGGTTTTCATATTTCAGCCTAATCCAACCTGTAAACGAATTTCTAGACTCCGAGCAAGCTTTGTTCCAGAAGGTCAATTTCTATCAAGGCAGCTACGAACAAAAACTCTTTTATTTTCTTTCTTTGTATTTCTGCGGGGATCTGCTCAGCTGGGCAGTTTCAGTGTAAATACAAGGAGGCTCTAATGCATTTATACAGCTCCTTCTTCCTCCCTGCCAGAACTAAATTAGCCTTCTTGCCAGACACGGATAGTCTGTGCAGCCACAAAGAGAGTCCGAATTTCTGCAACACCCTCAACCTGAAGGGACCCAAGAAAGGGAGAGAACAGAAGAAGAATAGAGCTGGAAAGGGTCCTGAGAGGTCTTCTAGTCCAGCCCGCTGCTCCAGCAGGAGAGACCCTATACCAGTGATCCCCAACCTTTTTGACGCCACGGCCCGGTACCGGCATCAACTGGGCACCGCCATCTTTTTTTGACGAAAAAGTGCTTCCGGTGA